CAGGCGCTGAGCCAGGAGTGTTCTTATTGTTGTGTGTTCCCTCTCCCTGCTGTCTGTTGGGCAATGGGAGGGTAGCTACAACAATGAAAATCTAGATGAACCATCCTTTCCGAAGCTTCCATTAGATCCTGACTGAGACTTCATTTACAACTTTATGCTATTTTTCAATTTTCCAGGTTTTTGGCTGTAGTGCCATCTCTGACTGACAGTTCAGAATCCGTATCTGGGCAACGACCAAACACAAGTGTGGAGCAGGGGTAAGTGGTTTGTTGCTTGTACGTTACAGGTTAATAATGAAAGTAGGACGGTTTATATGTGGACAGTATCCTTTAACATTGGTAATGAGCATTTCCCACCCTGCTCCCCCTTCTCCTGGGGTTGCAGAAAATTATTTAAATGCTGGGAACTAGCAGGAAGAAGAGAAACATGCACCCGTCACCTGCTGGTCTTTCTTGAATCATGCATATGTAAGTGTGCACAGTGGAGTTTATCCTCTAAATACACATTTTCGTTCTACTTCTTCCATTCAGTGTTACATTTAAATATCCACCCCCCCCCCCGCCGCTTGTCAAATATTCTTCAGAAATAATAACCTGTATTTGCTACTTATTCACCAGATATATATAAAGCATTTATTTATTTTGAGATATTTCACCTTTACTAGGTTTTCTTATCATTATACTAGAAATGTAATTCCCCATTATTTTGTTATGGTAGAGTCTCCCTAGTAAAATAAAAGGTATAAATTTTAAGGCTTTTATACACAAGCCAACTTGATATCCATAAGAACTGTACAAGTTTATAGTCTACCATTAGTGGATACATTCACTTGTCTAGATAAATATTTCCCAGCTCTGTATATTACTTTTTTATTTTTACTGACATTATACATTGCTTTCTTATTTTTTAAATGTATATATCTTTAATTCTTTGTAAGTTTGAGCTTCATATGTTTGCTTGCCATTTTAAGTTATCATTTGTAAATTGTTCGTAACTTTTGCCCATTTTTCTTTCAAGTTCCTATGATTAATTTCTGTGGGACTTTTCTGTAATAAGGTGTACTCCTTTGCTTGTCATATTTGTTGCAGATTGCCCAGTTTTCCTCTTAATTTTGTTTTTCCATATTTAAATTTAAACGTCTATGCTTATGTATTCACACCTAGCCATGGTTTCTTTGTGTTCTTTTTAGCAGCTTTTCATCTTAGAAAGGCCTTCGGGATGATCCAGAGGTGTCCAACCTTTTTTTTTTTCCTGCTGTACTTTGGATGAAGGATTATCTAGGTCACTCGTTAAATATACAAACTAGCAAAAACTGATTACCAAAAAAATGGTCCATGCATACTTTTTGCACTATCTGACACCATGAATAAGCAAAGCAGTCCTCACATAATCTGCATGCAGTCTGCAGGCCACAGGGCACACCCCGGAAAAGATCCGTAGACTCTGCTCCATTTATACCACTTAGGAACTGTAGCCCAATAATCCACTGGAAAGAGGCAGTGCTTTGGAGCTGTGGATTAGTCGTTTCAACATGCAAGAAAATTACTTAAAATTCTACAGGGATTCTGGAATTTTTAAATAAAATTTGATTCTCGTCTGTGCATATCTAAATATATGGTAGAACCTCTTTTGACCACCCAAGGGACTGTAACAAACTGGTCTACATGCCAAGGTGGTCAACGTAAGGAACTAAGCCTGCTGTACTGATATGTAATCTGAACATTAGCCCAGCTTAAGGAGGTGGTCAGTGTAGGAAGGTGGTCAACCATGGAGGTCCTACTATATTAAGTTTGTATATTTCTCTTTAAGTTGTTGCTTTCGTTTTTTTTTTTTTAGCCATGGCTTGGCAAATACAAATATTAAACATTTGCTTTTGTTAACCCCAGAAACATGTCCTCTTCCTAGTCATTTATGTTATTATTAACATGAATCTAGGAAGTGAAAGGTTTCCTAATGAGCCTTTTTCTACTTGTAAGAAAACTTGCAGATTGCGAGTTTTACCTGCCTAGATGAGGTTAAGCTTGCCCTTCATTGTTCTTGCTGCCTTCTGTACTGAGTTGGTAGTTCTTAAAGAACTTTTTGGAACTTAGAGGCAAGAAATAGAAATTCATTTCTAACTTTCCTGTCTTACTTTTCAGTTGTCTCCTTTCTTGTAAAGTTGAGGACTGATCATGGCTATTTTTCCAAAGAGCAGCCTTCATGTGCAGTTTGTCTGCTGAAAAGCAGAGTATGAATGTCCTAACTCAGTAACTAAGAAAATGGCATGAAGGTTATGTTAACCAGTTTGATGAGAGTATTTCAAAATGTATATGAAAACAGCACACTATACCCCATGATTGCATTAATGTACACAGTTATGCTATAAGAAATAAAAAAAAAAAAGAATTTATCTAGAAGTAGGAAGTAGTAGCTGTCCTGTTGAGCTGAGGGTGTTTATGACCTGAGGCTTACAAAATCTATTGACTACCTTTCAGATAATAAAATATATAGTTAAATACTTTCTTCCTGGCTCTACAAATAATTATTAATTATCAATATTAGAAAGCTTATAAACTTTAAATAGGATTTTATAGCATTCTAAGCAAGTCTGCTATCCAACAAATGTAGTATATAAGTTTTAACAACTAGAATGGCATTGTCTTAACTGTCATAAAGTACTCATATTGTCATTTATTTATCCAATGAACTATATATGTATAAAATATTGTGTAATATTTCAGTTATTCTAATTAAATGTCTTTGGATAGGTTTACATATGGATTATAGTAAAAAAAAAAAACTTAGAAGGTTGGACTAGATCAATTTTTTTCAACTCTTTTGAC